GTGGCTTTTAACCTAATTATTCCTTTTCTCCCCTATTATTATGTCGTGGTTGAAAAGTTTGGGAAATGCCAAGATGACAGAGAACCAGCTTTAGTTCTTACCTTTGCCAGGCTCTGTTTGCATTACAAGCGTATCTATAAAATTTGTATTTTTTTCTGTAAAAAACATGATTTGTTAAAATTATCAACAGCATTTCAATCTAAGATCCACAAAGAAAATGTCTGGTTACTGGAACAGGACAACATTCAGTTTGGTCTTTACTACCATAGGTGGTCAAAAAGACAATCAAACCTATTTCCTCTTGGTACCTCAGTCTACTAGAGTTAAAAAAGGGATAAATAGCTAATTGACTGTCAATGACAGGTCCATACATGTCCAGGGCTCGATGTTAACCATCGCCCGATCGCCCGGGGCAAGTCGTTTTTATTGTTGGGTACATTGTTGAGTACAAATTTCATTGCATTTGCCCGGCGCGCAAGTGCAATGATCATAAAAAAATTATTTATCACTCATAATTACTTTAAAATCACGACATTCCCTGAAAACGACCCACAAGTGTTGCCGGCCCCATTTTTGTTGTTTTGTACACATTCTCGTGTGATTTCAAAAAGCTGCGTGATTTTCCGCTAGATGGCGTGATTCAGCTCTTGGGGAGAGAATTCTGCAGAGCAGCTGCCGGATGATGAATTTAATCTATACTATAATACACGCTAGATTAAAAATCATCAGTCAGGGATTAGGAAAATAATAATAATAATTGTTTGCACACAGTGTAAATATTTCTATCATATGGCAGTCTTCTGTACAGTGGTCATCCATTAAAAAATGTGCATTACATTTTTTTCTCTTAGACACTTTGGAGTGGTGCATTTAAAAGTTATAGAGCTAAACACGTTAAATTGGTGAGTATTAGTAGTGTAAGTTTTTAACCTGTCAAGTTTTTTTTAGATTTTTAACATTACAATTTATATTTTTCCAAGCACGCAACAGTTTAAAGCAAAGTTTAATTTGAAAAGAATGTGCAGGAAGGATTGAAAAGCATGTTAACACGGTAATGTAGGCTTGAGTTCATTATCTGACGCATGCATATACTCACCAGGAACCTGTAAACTTACTGAATTACAAAAAAAAATATTTAAAAAAACAAACATGTTTCATTGAGATATATACAAAAATGAATATTAGGAACTATATTTATCAAACATTATACTGGGCAAGTAAAAATTGTTTCTGGGCAAATTAAATGTGAAAGCCACTTGCCCGAAGCCACTTGCTTTTTGCAGTAGAGTATTTTATTTTTTTCTATTTTATTTGTTTTAACTCTTCAGTATTCTGTTATTTTTATACACTTTTCTAAGGTCCACATTTATATAACCACTTTAGCTATAATCTTTTGCTGCTGTAACACCAGAATTCCCCCTTTGTGGTACAATCAAGGGATTTGCTATTATATTTTATTCTGTTTTATTCTATTCTATTTTCTTTTCACTATCATTAAATACCAAGGCCTTACTGTATGTACTTCAATCAGGTTAACATAAATTAATTAACATTTATCATTCACTACATAAACATTATGAACTACCTTATTAATCGTGTTTTTTTAATGGAAGTAAAAGTTTATGACGTCATTTAGATGTTAGCATACAGATTATTCAACAATATATTTTGGTTACAATCTTCTGTTGCCTTTGCTCACAAAACCTCTATTTCATTATGTCTACATACCCAAAACATCTGCTCTGATTCACATGCTTAAAAGATTTCATTGTAAGAAAATTGAATTTTTTATTTTTAACTACACAGCAGTTTTCTGAGAGTCCGTTTGTAATTGGAGTTCCCTATAAACCTATTATTACCATCAAATCAGTGCAGAAGGGGTTTGGGCTTTTTTCTTTTTTATTCTACTTTTTAAATTCTTATTGCCCTGTAAAAACATGCTGAGTGTTCAAGTGTTCATGGTTAAAGGGGCTGAACCAATAAATCATTAAGTTTCTTTAAAAAAAATACTTTATCTGAAAAAAATCCAAACTAAAGCAGATAATTTTGCTTATAAGAGGGTTAAGGACTGTTATGTTCCTCTGTTGTAAAACCCTGGCTGTATTTAAGTAAAAAAGCTTTTTCATATATCCATTTTTACGAGTAAATCACGGGTTTAGAAGGAACGAAAAATTTATTTAAAGCAGATTTGGGACACCAAAAGTCTGCTCTTCAGTAAAAGTCTCTATTTACTGTTAGATTAAAGAGAAGGCAAAACGTTTGGTAGTTTAAATATGAGTCCTTCGTGTAGCAACAAAATATACATTTTTGAACACCTGTGTTTAAAACATTAATGTACTGGAAAAAAGTTAAAATAATAATTATAAAAGGTGCTTACTGCAAAGCAACTAATTAAACACATAAATAGGAAAATATTTTATAACTAGAATTAATTACTTTGACGCAATCGAGTCTCACTTGATTTTTGTTTTAAATAATACTACAATCAGTATTGTTATTTTGTTATTTGTTCCTTTTTTCTACCTGCCAGAATGTCTCCTTTTGTTAAAAGAGATAAATAAGATTTTTCTCAATGGCCTCAAAACCCCATAAACCATCATTAATCCACCAGCTACTCTCTGGTTTTCTGCTGCTCCTTGAATTTGTTCACCTCAATCACTCAGTTGTTTCCTCGGCTGCTTTGGCATTCCCTTTTTTCCTCTTTTCAAATCACTCCCACCAACTTCTGAGTGCTTTTGTTCATCCTTTCTCTGCTGCACCTACTGTTTCTGCTAGCCTCTCTGTATCTGTTCTGTCTAGTTATTTGCCATCCGCCTTTTGTGGGCAGTCACCAAGATTGTTATTAGTGCCAGGTTCAGGCCTGCCGTGTAATCAGACCCCAGGAATTAGCGGTGGGGCCACACTGACAGGAAGGCACAATGCTGACAAAACACTGTAGTTATTACTGAGGTTGCTGCAGTGCTTCAGCTTTGGCAGGGATCTGCTGCTTGGAGCCCTGGGGTTGGATGAGCTCTGCTAAAGATTACCAATGCACACCAGCGTCAGGCTGCTCAGGCTGCAGGTGGTGTTTAAGCATCAGCAGTGCAGCCATACTGAAAGGACAACAAAAAGAACATCGCAAGGATGGGCTTTTATCATTTTGGGTAAAACGCGAAGCTTGTTGCATTACAGCAGAGAAGGGAAATCCATTTAGTTGACCATATTAACCCATTTGGTGTCACTTAAGAGAATTTTAGCTTTCAGTTTGAAGAAGTGGTCATTCCAGTTTGCCTTTTAAAATGGGACCTCCAAGCCTGGAGCACATTCAGCATGCTTTAAGCCACTTACCCATCCATGCTTAAGAGCTTATACATTAAGTCTCACAGCAGATTACTGGCTTTATATCTAACTGCTTAGAATCGATCTTTTCTATTTATATATATTTTAAAAAAATGGATCTGTCTCATTTAGATAATTTGAAAAGATAAATCAACCCCCACTACATAAAATTAAAGCAGACCTTCCAGTTAGACTCCTCCCTGTTTTTGTTTGGGAGGCAGGAACCATGAAAACAAGGAACGATTGAATCCTTCCTTTTTGCTAAGTAGCTTTGGCTTTTTTGGGGCCTAATCTTTGGTTATTCATCTCTACACCTACATTGCAAATTCCGAAGAGTTAATTTAACTCCTAGCAAGTTAATTCAACACTATTTAAATGTCTATATTGGTCCCCACTAGAATGAGATTTTAAAAGTGTTTTTTTTTTCAGTTAATACTGTGAAAGACTTGGAAAAAATCTCTCGTTAGTGTAAATTGAACACTTACCAGAGTTTAATCTATCTAATACTAGTGTATAGAGTCAAAAGTTAACTACATGCATTCATTTTTTTACATCAAGATTTATGGACAAATATAGCTGAGTATCGTCAACATAAGAGTGGTAGTAAATCATTTCTGATACACTGTAGCCACATCTGTGCTGGGACCCGCTGACAGAGGCAAGGCTGCTGCAAACAGGATCTCTGAACACCATCAATACTTTACCAATGTGAGTTAGATGACACAACAGAGCGACGGACCTCCAGCTGCAGGACAACCGTATACGTTCTAAGCTACAACTTCAAACTCCATTGATGTCCTCGTTGGAGAAGATAAGAGATCACAGATAGGTTGGCATCAAGGAAGATAATCTGATAATATTTTATCTTATAAGCAATACTTAATGGAGTTGTTCAAATTTAACTCTGTGGGTTAATAATAGAGTTGTGCCAATGCCATTTTTTGGGCCCGATACCTGGCTGTGCAGTATTGGCCGATACGATACCATCTGTTTGAAATTGATGTGTGTGTGTATATATGAAGAACTGCATACTACTTGGATATTAAATAATTGCCATCATGGCTTTGTCAAGCAGTTGCCTACCTTTGTGAAGCAGGAAAAAGACTAATACAAAGTGAATCTAGTAGAACTTTTTATTGCCTACCTGGAATGAGTGATAATAGCTGAATAAACTTTTGGCTCTCAAAATGGTATCAGTGCCATATTTGTTGGTACTTGCCAATAGTGATACCACCATTTTAGTGCTGGATCGAGAAATGAAAAAAAAAATGCAAGGGAGTAACACAGAGATTTGAGGTGACATATGTACAATCAGGAAGGCTTATATAAAGGTGGATTGACTTTTACATTAAAGTGTAGTAGGTAAGGAACAATGGTGAGATAGTGGTATGACTATTATATTCATATATTATATTATATATTTAAATGTTCAGCTTTGGAAGTGGCAAGCTTTTACCCTAATGCTTTCCCACAATGGCCAACTTTCACTGCCCTAAAACTACAAACCATGGAATATGCAGTGTCCAAAAAAAGGGGGGAAAAAATCCCAAATTTTACAAACTTCTGACTAAAAGTAACTTATAAAAGTAAGGCTTTTTGCTGAAAAGTGGACGGTCACTCAGTGTGTTTGCAGGAAACTTGTTCGTTACTTTCTTGTAGCAGGCAGGTTAGGTTGTACTTACAGCAGGGTCCTTTGCGCTGCACCTTGATGCGTCGCTGTTTTTCGCACTGAGCCTTCTCCAGCTCGCACTCGTTGCTGTAGGTGGAGGTGTCGGAGCCGCAAACAGGAGCCACCATGAGTGGACATTCGAATTTCTTACAAACGCACTCGCCCTTGGCTGGGTCGGACGGGTCCCGCTCACACACCGCCCCGAAGCCACACAGCTTTCCTCTGCAGCCTGGATCAGACAGCAAAAGAAAAGGGAAGATTATAAAGATAAATCCCCACTAAACACCTAATAAAAAACAATGGCACCCAAAAAGAAGTCAGTTCTTGAATGTTATCTTTATGTCCAACTAGACAGCATTATTGGAGCATATTCACTCTGGTCTTTGGGAAGAATAAAAGCAGAAATAAACACGTTAACAGCCAGTATTCATAGCTCTTTAACTTTATCAGATTTTGTCCAGTGAAACAGCAAAACTCAGCATGTTTTAAAATTTAAAGCAAGACTAAACAGTTTTGTTCCTTTGTTGTTGCAAGTAAAGACCTCATTTTGTAAATGGATAAGTGAAATAACAAAACATGTTTTGTAAAATTTAGAAAAATACAATCATTAAATGAATGTTTTAATTAAAAAAATAAGTCTGAAGGTAAATTTGCTGCTTTCTCAGATTTTTCTTCTTTTCAATTTTTTTTTATTATTTTTTTTTTACAGATTTTGTATTTTCAGATTTTATTTTTCAATAATTAAAAAACATTTTTTTTCCAATTATTGTTTTTCAGACTGAGTTTTAGTGTTCTTCACTCCAGGAAAACCTGCGGCTAGAAGTAGAGAGAATATGATCTGTAAAACGCAGTGTCAAAAGAATGCAATTTGTAAAACTTTATCTGAAAAACAAAAATTTGTAAAAAGAAAATTCTTAACTAAAACACCATGACGAAATATAATTTGGAAAAAAAGGATAAAGTATAGTATATAAAAAAAATTTATTTGAAATAAAAAGTTAAAAAAATCTGAGAAAACAAATAAGTTACTCTCTGAAGACTTTTGATTAAAATATCTTTTATCTCCATTTAAAAAAATACCTTCACAGTTTGCAACAACAATCAGATAAAATCCACTTTATACCAGACCAACACAACAGTGGAAGCATAATGGATTTTTAGACATTTATAAAAAATAAAGATCTGAAATCATGGTTCCACACTGGAAAAACGATCAAGAAATAAGTAAAATTTTCTCAAATTATGTGTATTTACCCTTTTTTTGAGTAGTTAAATGAGATGATTTGCCAATGGAATGAGTATTTTTTACTCTTAAAATAAGATATTTAGATAAAATGCACTTGAAATAAGACAATTGTGCAATTGTGTTTTCTTATTTTAAATGTAAATTGTCTTGTTCCATTGGCAAAATGTCTCTTTTACCTTCTCAATTCAAGAACAAATGCACTTATTTTAAGAAAAAATGACTCATCTAGGTTTTGATTTTTTCCAGTGCAGTGCATTCTGTATCTTTTACTCTGATATGTCAGAATAAAGCAAAGAAGAACCAAAGTCCCTTCACCTGGGAAAAAAAATCTACATTTTTTTAAGTTAGATTATGTTTAAAGGATGCCGTTCAAAGGCTTCTGGGGTCAGGAATATTCATATTTGAACCTTTAACTCATTTAATAAAAATAGTAAAGAGCAGCTGCAAAGCTACCGAAACATAGCAGCTCACCAGAACTGAAGGAGTTACTTTGGAGGAGCTAAACGGATCAAGGGTCTCATGCATGAGAATCTTTTGACAGGAAAGCTATTGGTTATAACTCCACATATTTAACCTATAATCAGGTTAAATATGTGAGAGAAAACTTTACGTCCAGTTGCCTAAACTTAACGTTTCAAGCTTGACCAGGACCTGGATTATACAGAATCTCACAGACATGTTCAATATGTGCAGTTTCCACAAGCCATGAAGGAACACAAGAAACGCTTTGGAATAAGATGCTCTGGATTTATGATTAAAGGACATGGAAGCTGTTCAGATATAAAGTGAAAAACCTCACAACACTGGAAGAAAATGTTAGAGGCTGGAAAAGACTTGGAATCATTCAAAGGTTCGCCATTCAGAAGATAAAAACCCTGAACGTACAGCCAGAGCTACAATGGAATAGTTTGGACCAAAGGATTTCCATGTGGTAGAAAGATATAAGGTTTCACTTTATTTACTAAATTGTGAATTGGCTCTTCATAGCAAAGCAAAGAATGAACAAGTCCCTTCACCTGGACAGAAAGTCTACCTTTGTTTAAGTTAAATTACATGTGAAACGGGCTGTTCAAAGGCTTCAGAGGTCCGGGATGAATATTCCGGACATAGCTTATAAAAAAAAATAGTACAGATAAGCTGCAAAGCTAGCGAAACATAGCAACCCTAAAAATAAACTGAATTGAATTGAACTGAGGTGATAAGGTCATTTAAAATTCTACAAAAATACTTGTGTGACTGTAATGTGGCAAAGTGTAATAAAGGTTTATAGGCTTTGAACCCTTTTTTTGTGAAGCCCTCTACTATAAAGATATTCTGGATGGTTCATCTCTGACCTGTAAAGATACTCTGAATCATCGATCACCCCCACCCCCCACCCCCCAGCCAGGTAAACATAGAGTTAGGTAGATAGGTTAGCCAAACACTCTCCGGCCTTCACAAGTCAGGCGGTAACAATTCTTCCGACTTTGATCCCAAAGCTCCCACAGAGACCTCGGCTTTGATCGAGTGTGAAACTGTAAACATTGTCGGAGGCAGCCGAACGCGGCAGGCAAACAAGAAGCGCACCCCTGTGTATGTGCTGATGTTGTGTGCACAAAATATCAACTTAGAGAGTAATTGACCCGTGCTGTGGCAGCTACAGCTGCTGTGGCTCTGCGCCCACTCAGAGGGCTGTGGGGCAGCCAGCTGGCGTGACGTCTTCGCCTCACCACTGGGGGCGTAAAAAAGACATGGCTGGCTCTCACAGGTAGCTGACCTGATTGGAAATCCATGGGCCAGAGAACACAAAAATAAGCCCCCACCCCCCAAAAAATAAAGAAAATCTGGATAGAGGCAGGAAGCCAGTGTTTGTTTCTCCGGATGCATGCTTCACATTTATCCACAGCTGAACCCACATGTCCAACCAAGCTTCTTATCGTTGGCTCACAGGTTAGGAAGTCGTCACGTCTGCACGCTTTCAGTGGCTTCTTTCGGACCGACATGCCAACGCACTGATAGACGCCCTCACGCTGCCGTCCACGCACAGCTTAGACAACCTTTCCAGCGTCTGCCCAAGGCATCTCCTTCTTTTTCTCTCACCACGCTCTGTGAATGTGTGTGTGTGCAGAGTGACAAGCGAGGAGGCCGTTTTTGACTTGCCCACTGTTCCCTGTTGGGGAGCTGCTGACAGCTACCTGAGCTCACTCTCTCTTCTATCATGGGAAAAGGAGGTATGTGTGTGTGTGTGTGTGTATGTGTGAAGCTACCCATGAATGCATTTGTATTCCTGACAGTGTGGGTCTCAGAGTGTGTAAGCACCACTCTCTGTCTCAGACGTCCACACACACACCTACATGCGACCAGGTGCTAGAAAGAAGGCCTTGTCATGACCGGCCTCCTGCTCTGCCATCACTTCATACCACACGCTCCTGTATGTGTGGGTGCGTGTCGGTGTGTTGTCAGCATGTGGCTCAGAGACAAAGCCATACGAGGGGAGTGACAAGAGGTGAAATTTAATCGAATTCTGTCAGATGTGTACAAGAAAAACAGAGGGTGTCTGATGGTGTGACAAGAAAATAACCCTCTGAGGTTCCGATTGGGGTAAAAAAAAAAAAGGATCTAAATATGTTTGATTCAAAATACATACTAGGTATTCTAAGAGAGAAAAAGAAAAAAAACACAGCAAAAATAATGCCTTGCTTGTATTTCTTGAGAAGAAAAAAAAAAAGAAGAAAAAAAGCAAATCCAGCAAGGTGAGGACAACCCATATTATTTCTGAAATGTTTCCCACTAGCCTCAAGCTCAGCTGACTGACAAAAGACTGACACTGGAGTGGAGGATTCTGTCAAAGCGAAGGTATCAAGTGCAGAATGGAGACCGAGTTCACTAACTGCATATCCTCCAAGTGGAAACTTTTTCCTTGGGAAACTCCTCCTGGCGCTGCAGAACAGATGCATACATTTGACACTTCCAATTTCTTTTGAGAAGGAGGAAAACAACAACAGCCCGGGCAGGTAATACGAACAGCGGTATCCCAGATGGTAGCTGAAAGCAAAACTACAGCAATGAAAAGACTTGGTTTGTTTTTTTCCCAAAATTTCCGCAGCGGTGTCCATGACCCGCCTTGACTGACAGGTGATCACTAGGAATGCAAAAAACATTAATGGGAACGGACAAGGAGCCGTCGCACATGTCATGGAGACGGATGGGTTATTACTTTGGAGAAAAACAAACAGGAGGAAATGAAGCTTTTTTTTTTGCCGTTTCTTAAACACGTGCCTCTGGTTTTGGGTGCAGTACTTTTGGTTTTGGCTCTTACGCAAATATTCATCAGTTTACATGAAAGACTTATCAAGCCTCGAAATCTTTCTAAAAAGAAAAAACAACATATAAAATATTTTACTTTATCTTTATAACATCTATTTTTAAAATTTGTTCTAATAAAAAGATGACTAAATAAACTACAAAACATACTGCAGTACATACGCCTCACCAGTAGGTGACAACAACATATATACCTAGAATTACCATAGCATCCAGGAAGCGAAACGTCTTCAAACTTGGAAAAAAAGTCCAGTTGATAGCTTTTTTTTTTTTACTTTTTTGGTATAAATACTATAGCCATGATTAGAAAAGAGGGGTCATAATCCCAAATACTATTCCATCCATGGGAAAAGAATTGATTCAATTTGTTTTGTATGACTGCAGAAACATTTATTAATTTGTTAATCTGTTTGAAGCATGAATACTTCCTGCACACTTGTTTAACTTTGAGAAAAGAAAAAAAACACCAAACAGGCTTAAATTCCCTAATTAGCATTTTAAGGTTTTATCATATATTTCATTTGAAAATTTAAAGATATATTACACATATTTACTTAATATGCACTCTTCATGAGGACTTGATTAAAATACAACAAGTTTCCCTGCACAGGTATTGTTTCAGCCAAATAAAGGTATTCAATGTCTGCTAAATAAGAGTGTTTATTTGTTCCTTTTTTAAG